AATAATAATAATAATAATAATAATAATAATAATAATAATAATAATAATAATAATAATAATAATGGCAGAACTAAAAATGATTTCTATCCCAGTGAGCAGAAAGGGAAATTTTCACTTTTGGGATCCTGATTTAATTTGCTGCTCTGAAGTTTCTCTTTAGGTTTCCTTTTTTTTAAAAAAAAAACAATAAATACTACATTAAAAGGCATTTAGATGTGATTTGGTGCAAAAGCTGCCTCTTTTCCGACAACAAGTTTTTTGAGATTCTGCTGGATGTGATGGCCCATATTTGCTTCCAGCTAAATCAATGTTAAAAAGCTTTTACTTGATTGATAAACATTCTGCGATTTCACAAAGTAAATACTTGTTGTCAGTGGGAGGCCAGTCTGATCCCTGGTGTACTAAACAAGATTTCTCCTTTTGAATATCTCCTAGTCTTAAGCAGGTGTTTGAAAATGTGCTACAAAATAAGAAAGTTTGCAAAACATTAAGAGAAATTTCTCATCACTAAATGGACTGGATGCTAAGACTAATCAAAGCTCATATTTTCTTTTGATTCAGGGGCATCTGCTGGAAGGAGGTTCAAAAAAGGGAAACGGACGGGGATTCAATCATGTGATTGTGATTTTGACTTTTTTTCTCCCTCTTCTCTGATACCCCTACCTGTATGCTAAGCTTATAACTATTTTTTTTTTTAAAAAGTACCATAAATCCTTTTACCTGTAGGTAATACTGGTTTTCTCCCATTTAGGATTGCCATCTAAAAGAACAAATGACGCCAAGTCAGGTACACCACATCTGGGCTTCTTCATCACTGCCAAAGTTTTCAGGTCAGGCTTTCCAGTCACATTCAGCCCAAAAAATTTTTGCATTTTTTTGAGATCTTCAGTCAAGATTTCATTTTCATCCATACGGATCTTAGCTCTTCTCTCATCATTGGATTGGTAGAAGGTCTTTAAGTATTTCTGATCGGAAACAAAAGTAAAGTCACTCTGAATTTTTTGTTAAAAAAATTAAAACTAAAAGAAACCAAGCGAGGGAAATTTTGATATCCAACAGATCCAAAAATCATCCAATGGCTTTGGGGAAGAGGATGAAGATTCTTCCCATAAATTTGAAGGTTAAAGTCCCAAAAAATACAATTTACTTTTTTTTAACAAAATGAACCCCTAAAAAGATGTAGCTTTTTTTAATGATGGTGCAAGCTTAAGGGGGACAGACTGTTTTATAGAAATGGACTTTAACCCATTATCTTAAATAACGACACTTTTACTACGAAGTATAATAAAAAGATGAGACACATCTCACAAGACACAATGGTAAAAAATTAATCCAGGATAGAAAAGTTAAAAGTAGAATTCAGTAAAGTTAGAGTTCAAGTAAAACTTTAGCAATTTTTGAGTGTATATTTACCTTCACTAAATCCATGTCAGCATCATTGATTGGTGAATTCACGGGAGTGGCAAAAGCAGATAAGTTGCAGGTGAGAAACAGAAACACCCAAATTGAGAGTCCTGTCATAGTTAAAATCACTGCAGATGCCTCTTGTCCTATAAAATATTTATTCCCCTTTCAATGTTTCTGGGTTTCAACCATCCTCAGTTTATATAGAAGTTGAACACTTATCTCTGTTCTGACTCACTATCCTCCGATTGGCAATCAAGGAAGGAGTCATCCATGAGCCATAACATTTTCACAACTCCTTGGGCTAATTTAAAAAAAGGACCCCCCTCCAGTTATGAGAACATACTCAGATAGTAATGCTTAAGCATTATTTTCACCTTACACAGGTTTCACCATTGAAGGTTAAAAGTCAAAATAAAGAAGAAAGAAGGATGTTCCCGGGGTGTGCATCTCATTTAGTTCGTTGGTCTTTCGAAGATATTTTCTCCTCACACTCCCAGGAATCCTTTATTTTACTGGTATTTAGGCTGAGTTTAGAAAGGAGGAAGATATGTACAAGACCTCATAACTAATCAGAGAATCCTGGGGTTGGAATATGTCATTGAGGCCACAGAGTCCAATTTTTTGCTCAGTGCAAAAATCCAAAATATTTGAGACATATGGTTTTCTAATCTTTGCTTGAATCTACGATTTTTCTGGGCAATTGGTTCATTGTTGGACTTTAGGTTAGGAACTTTCAAAAATCTTCCAAGAGAATTCATGTTCTTCTTTTTGCAGCTACCTCACTTCAATTTATAATTAATTACGTTCCAAGATGTTTATTACAAGTACTAGGATTTTAGTATGATAAGATATGTTGTCATATAATTGCATTTATGATTTCTTTTTTCCTAAATGAAGAAATTTGCATATATCTCTGTAAACTGACATTTTCCTCACCTGTACCAATTGTTTTTAATTTTATTTATATTTTCAGCTCCATATTGTTTTGTATCATTTGCATTCCCTCTACCTTTTTCATTTAAGGATTTAATTAATGTACTGAAAAGGAGGTCCTAGGACAAATCTTGTGGATACCACTTGATACCCCATTTGAGATTGATCCTTCTTCGATTCAGATTCTTGATCCAGTCTTTGACCCAATTATGAATCCATTTAATGGATAATCCATCCAGGCTAACTTTAGCTAACTAGCAAATCAGAATATTGTGGAGTTATGATAGTTACCATGTCTCAAGGTCATGTGATCACCTTTTGTGATTTTTCTAACAAGGAAAGTCAATAGGGAAGGTCATAAAATGGGGCAAAGCCCACTTAATAACTGTCTCACTTTGGCAACATAAATGTTGGGCTCAATTATGTATGGCATTTTGATCATGTAGGGAAAGAAGAAGAAGAAGAAGAAGAAGAAGAAGAAGAAGAAGAAGAAGAA